TTAGAGGTTGAATGAGTTGAAAAAAAGTCCACAACCCGAGGCAAAACCAGGGGTCCTTAAATTCACCTTTCTGTCTTTGTTGTATGAGCAACTCAGCCAAAGAGCTGCAAAGTTATGTATGAAAGGCGGAGTTTAGAATTCCATAGAGAAACAGCAATAACTCAGGAAAGCAAGAGCAAGCCTGGTCCAGAATATCATACCTTGGCTCAGTATATGGGTTGTGCTTAATCTTTGGGTTGTGATTTTGAGCTGCTGATTCTCTCCTCCATACTCTGGTAAGCCACTGAATCTACCAATGACCATAGTTTTCCATTTCATCCAAACTGAGAAAAAAATACTAATAGATGTGCTAGGATATGTTGACCATAATATGAAAGAAACTATTCCTTGAAGTTGTCTGGGATTAATTTTGTCACACAAGAGGAGAAGTGAAGGGGTTTGTGTGTTGGCAAAGGCATTTATGTGTCTCAGTTTGATAAGCCAAGATGTGATCATGTCGACCAAGCCAGTGCGTGTCATTATGAAACAGACGGTGAATTTCTTTCCACTTTAGAGACAAGGGTGCTTCTAGGATGTCATCTCTAACATAACATAAACAAAGTTTTATTATGTGAACCTTTGATTTTGGTTCATGACATATTTCTGGCTAATTACTATGACTGATACTTTGCACTTTTTCCTCATTGATTCTCATTACACTCTTTGTCATTCGTGCCAAATGCTTTGCACTGGGTAGTAGAATGGAGAAGTGGCTTATGAACTGCCTTTGCATTGATTGTCCTGAAATATTTTGAATAATAATAGTTAGAAGCCGTTAAAACCAAGTTGTTTTCAGATGACAGCTCTAGAAGATAATATATATGCACTGGTACATTTCTCTTGGGTAACTTTAAAGAGATTGATTTGTGACTTCACTAGGAGAAATAGAGGACAAGAAATATAAATGACAACCAACTTGTTTCTCTGGTGTCCATAGTGTCACCATGTAGACAGCAAAGCCACCCTTGCAGGGATAAAAGAAGATCATTGAATTTGTGTAGTGTTTTTTTTTTTAAAGAAGAAAATATGACAATGTAACTGAATTATCCCCTACATAATATTAATTTATTAACAAATGGAATTGATTTATATGGCAATAGTTAAAATTAGATAAAAGACATGTAAAGAACTGGAAGAGAAGATAGGAAGAAATTGGATAGTATGAGAAGACTCAACTACCAATTTTGACATCAGATGAAAAGACTGTGGCCCTTTCCACACAGCTGAATAAAACACCACATTTTCTGCTTTGAACTGGAATATATGGCAGTGTTGACTCAGATAACCCAGTTCAAAGCGGATATTGTGGGATTTTTTTGCCTTGATATTCTGGGTTATGTGGCTGTGTGGAAGGGCCATGTATTCTTTTCTGTTTTAGAGGATATATAGGACGTTCACAATTTTAGACAATGTGTATAATGGAACTTGAGCTGAAGATTCAGATGTAATCATTATAACAAATATATGATGTCTCTTCCCCCTCAATCCCCTTCCTCTTACTTGGTGACATAGTAGCCATTTATATGGTTTGAGTTGACTAACCAGAGTTTCACAATCCTCGTCCCCTTCTTTATTCTCCTTTTATTCTTTGTGTGAAAAACATTTTTTGAAATGCATAATAAAAACTTATGGGAATAAAAAGAAGGTCATAGAATCATAGAGCCCACATGTCCAAGCAGTTCAATCCCTTACCAAGCAGGAAAAGCACAAAGCACCCACAACAGGTGACAAATCGCCCTCTGTTCAAAAGCCTCCAAAGAAGTAGCTTCCACCACACTCTGAGGGAAAGTGTTTCACTGTTGAACAGCTCTTACAATCAGGAAGTTCTTCCTAATATTCAGGTGGAATCTCCTTTCCTGTCATTTGAACCCATTGCTCCGAGTCCTAGTCTCCAGAACAGCAGAAAACAAGCCTGCTCCCTCTTCCTTATGACATCCTTTTGGATATTTAAACATGGTGATCATGTCTTCTCTCAACATTCTCTTCTCCAAGCTAAACATACCTAGTTCTTTAAGCTATTCCTCATAACAGTGGTTCTCAAACTGTGAGTTCCCAGATATTTGGCCTTCAACTTCCAGAAATCCTAACAGCTGGTAAACTGGCTGGGATTTCTGGGAATTGTAGGCCAAAACATAGACCAAGTTCTATAACAGTTGAGAACCACTGTCATAGAACATGGTCTCCAGACCTTTGATCATTTTAGTTGCCCTCCTCTAGACATGTTCTATCTTGTCAATATCTCTCTTAAATTGGGGTGCCCATAATTGGACACAGGAAAATAGGAGCTATCCTTTAAAAAATAAAGCATCCAAGTCCCTGTATAGCCTTTCAATGGCTCTCCAACCATTGTGAGGACCCCAGGAGTGAAAAGAAAAAAACATCCACACTGATTAACCTGGAGTGTTATGGGTGAGAAGTTAACCTTTCCAGCCCCACACAGAAAAGTTGTGTTGAGTCATGCTTTTATTTCCTGTCCTTTGTGTGGATATGTAACTGTGGATAATATCAAAACCTATTGAAATTAAGAATTCTTTTTTGGCTGAAGAATAGAGTCTTGATGGAGGACAATAAAATGTATAGAAAGAACATAATTGAAATAGCAGATACCAGTCCCATTGATATAGGAGTTGTAATGTGGTATATAATCAAGGTCAGGGATTGTGCAGGCTGGATGTTGTTGGAGTGCAGTTCCCATAAGTCCGAGCCTGCATAGCCAATGAGGGGGAATGCTGGGATTTGCATCTTAATGCATGGATGGCCACCTTAGGTTAGGTTAGGACACTCACCCTAATAAGAACAACATAAATAAAAGAAGCAAAGTTGAAGGCAAAGAGGGAAAATACCATCAAGACCTATGCATTAAGATCCATTATTTCTGTGGAAAGAAAACAATGGTGGTTCCAGTGATGCTATATCTTCAGGCAGCAATCCCTCAATGCTAAAACATCCAGCTGAAATTGCTATGGTTAGTATCACCAGAGCACAATTACAAATAGTGGTACATTTTGGAACATTGAAAAGAAAAATAGGTTTCCCTAAAACTGTGGACCAAAATCCACTGATTGTGGTAATGTGAAAGTATCTAAATTAACTCAATGTATACATTACAAATACACATATCAACAAAACACAGAGCTGCCACATTCACATTAAGCAGAAACAATTGGTTCTTCTCTTGAAGTATGAAACAAATCCTTCATGTGAGTAAGAATAGTCCTTGAATGACCATAAATGTCCTATTCTTTATGGCACATGAGTAGACTCCAGTAGTCACAACAGATGTCCTATTCCCTTTGTTACACACGAGTCGACTCCAACCTGCAACCGGTTGAGCCTTTTTTTATGAGCCTTTTTCGATAAATGAACCCAACTGCCTGACAAAGGCTCTTGTGAGTCGAAACCGGTTGCAGGTTGGAGTCGACTCATGTGTAACATGGAAAGGCCTTGGGATTGTCTAACTTGATATCCTGGGATATAGGGTTGTGTGGAAGGGCCCTCAGATGACGTGGGGTTTTCTGCCTTGATATTCTGGAATATAGGGCTGTGTTGAAGGAGCCTGGGATTGTCTACCTTGATATTCTGGGACATAGGGCTTTGTGGAAGGGCCCTCAGATAATGTGGCTTGATATTTTTGGATATAGGGCTGTGTGGAAGGGCCCTCAGATGTGGTTTGATATTTTGAAATATAAGGCTGTGTGGAAGGGCCCTCAGATAATGTGAGGTTTTCTTGATATTCTGGGATATAGGGCTTTGTGGAAGGTGCCTGGGATTGTCTACCTTGATATTCTGGGATATGGGGCTTTATGGAAGGGCCCCCAGATAATGTGGCTTGATATACTGGGATATAGGGCTGTGTGGAAGAAGGGCCTTCAGAGAATGTGGGGTTTTCTGCCTTGATATTCTGTTATATAGGGCTGTGTGGAAGGGCCCTCAAATGATGTGGGGTTTTCTGCCTTGATATTCTGGGATATATGGCTATGTGGAAGGGCCCTCAGATGATGTGGTGTTTTCTGCCTTGATATTCTGGGATATAGGGCTGTGTGGAAGGACCCTCAGAGAATCTGGGATTTTCTGCCTTGATATTCTGGGATATAGGGCTGTGTGGCAGGGTCCTCAGATAATGTGGGATTTTCTGCCTTGATATTCTGGGATATAGGAGTGTGTGGATGGGAACTCAGATAATGTGGGGTTTTCTGCCCTGATATTCTGGGATATAGGGCTGTTTGGAAGAATGGCCCTCAGATAATGTGGTCTTTTCTGCCTTGATATCCTGGGATATAGGGCTTTGTGGAAGGGCCCTCAGATAATGTGGCTTGATATTTTCAGATATAGGGCTGCAAGGACCCTCAGAGAATGTGGGGATTTCTGTCTTGATATCCTGGAATATAGGGCTGTGTAGAAGGGGCCTGCGATTGTCTACCTTGATATTCTGGGATATAGGGCTACGTGGAAAAGGGGCCCTCAGATAATGTGGGGTTTTCTGCCTTCATTTTCTGGGGTATAGGGCTGTGTGGAAGGGGCCTGAGATTGTCTACCTTAATATTATGGGATATAGGGCTTTATGGAAGGGCCCTCAGATAATGTGGCTTGATATTTTCAGATATAGGGCTGTGTGGAAGGGCCCTTAGATAATGTGGCTTGATATACTGGGATATAGGGCTGTGTGGAAGAAAGGCCTTCAGAGAATGTGGGGTTTTCTGCCTTGATATTCTGTTATATAGGACTGTGTGGAAGAAGGGCCCTCAGAGAATGTGGGGTTTCCTGCCTCGATATTCTGGGCTATAGGGCTGTGTGGCAGGGCTCTGGGGCAACAGCAGCAGCCAAGGGGTTTGGGGTCGGGAGCCCAGGGCTGTTTTCCATGAGAATGCGTGCTTGCCTGACTGGCTGAGCCCGCCGCCTGTCTCCCTTGAAGCCTCGATTAGCATAATCAGGCTGGGAAGGAGGCGGGCGCCTGGTTGGTTCCCTGCCTGCCTTGCTTGCCTGCCTTGCTTGCCTTGCTTGCTTGCCTGAGTGCTCTGCAGCAGAGAGGGATCCATGCAGAGAGAGAAAGGGAGCGGGAACAAAACAATCTGCGTGGATGCTGAGGCGGTGATGGGGAAAAAGAGAAGAGCGGCCTTCCTTGTGTGAGGAATCAAGAAGAGGAGGAGAGGAGACATCAGGAGAGAGAGAGAGGGGGGAGCCATGATGATGACCACCCTCCGCCGTTGTTTGTAGTGGAAGAGGAGGAGGAGGAGAGAAGGCTGCCATGATGAGGAGGAGGATGTGGAGGGTGGCGGGGAGGGCAGCGGGAGGGAGGCTGGCGGATGCTTGGCGCGGATCCTGAGGAGAAAGAAGAAGGAGAAGGCCTCCCCTGCGAAGAAGACGCCCTCCTCCTCCTCCTCTCCGTCTTCTTCCCCTTCTTCTTATGGCCTCATTTTGGCGAGGCCTGGGCTTTGTGATGATTTCCCTCCTCATGAAGGGGAGCGAGTGGGGGCTCGAGGGACCACCATGCGGCTGCCGCTGCCGCTGCTGAGGTGAAGGAAGAAAGGCCTCCTGCGTGGCCCATGCTGCTCCTGCTGCTGCTTTCCCCTCCTGGGCCTGGATTACATTGAAGGCCCCTCGCCATGAAGAAGACGCGGAGCACGACCCTGAGGCGGGCCTGGCCCAGCGCCGACTTCTCGGACCGGGCCTCCGAGCGCCTCCGCTCCCGCAGCGAGAAGGACTACCGCCTCCATAAGCATTTCCCCCCCGCTTTCCTCTCCCAGGCCTCCCGGGGATACATGACATCAGGTCTGTGAGGTGCCCTGCCTGCCTGTGCGTGCCTGTTTGTCACAGGCCTGGGCCAACTTGGGCCCTCCTTCCAGGTGTTTTGGACTTCCACTCCCGCCATTCCTAACAGCCTCAGGCCCTTTCCTGAAGGTGACCCTAAGGATTCCTCCTCTGGAGGCTTTTTAAGCCGAGTCCAAGTGGCCATCTGTCGGGAGGGGTTGGGCAGTGTCTTCCTGCATTGCAGGGGGTTGGACAGGATGGTCCTTGGGGTCCCAGCTCTAGGATTCTATTATTCAATCTATTTACCTTGTAAGGGTTGGACTAGATGGTCCTTAGGGTCACCTTCCAACTCTAGGATTCTGTTATTCTATCTATCTATCTATCTATCTATCTATCTATCTATGTCTTAAGAGTTGGACTAGGTGGTCCTTGGGGTCTCAACTATAGGATTCTATCTGTCTGTCTGTCTGTCTATCTATCTATCTCCTAAAGGTTGGACTAGATGGTCTTAGGGTCACCTTCCAACTCTAGGAGTCTGTCTGTCTGTCTTGTCTGTCTGTCTATGTCCTAAGAGTTGAACTGGATGGTCCTTGGCATCCCAACTCTAGGATTCTATCTACGTATCTATCTATCTCTTAAGGGTTGGACTAGATGGTCTTAGGGTCACCTTCCAACTCTAGGATTCTGTCTATCTGTCTGTCTGTCTGTCTGTCTATCTATGTCTTAAGAGTTGGACTGGATGGTCCTTGGCGTCCCAACTCTAGGATTCTATCTACGTATCTATCCATCTATCTATCTATCTATCTATCTGTCTCTATCTATCTATCTATCTATCTCTTAAGGGTTGGACTAGATGGTCCTTAGGGTCACCTTCCAACTCTAGGATTCTGTTATTCTATCTATCTATCTATATCTTAAGAATTAGATTGGGTGGTCCTTGGGGTCCCAACTCTAGGATTCTATCTGTCTGTCTGTCTATCTATCTATGTCTTAAGAGTTGGACTGGATGGTCCTTGGCGTCCCAACTCTAGGATTCTATCCTATCTATCTCTATCTATCTATCTATCTATCTATCTATCTATCTATCTATCTATCTCTTAAGGGTTGGACTAGATGGTCCTTAGGGTCACCTTCCAACTCTAGGATTCTCTTATTCTATCTATCTATCTATCTATCTATCTATCTATCTATCTATCTATCTATCTATGTCTTAAGAGTTGGACTGGGTGGTCCTTGGGGTCCCAACTCTAGGATTCTATCCTATCTATCTATCTATCTATCTATCTATTTGTCTATCTCCTAAGGGTTGGACTAGATGGTCCTTAGGGTCACCTTCCAACTACAGGATTCTGTTATTACAGGAAGGGGCCTGACGCTGTTAGGAATGGCGGGAGTTGAAGTCCAAAACACCTGGAAAGAGGGCCCAAGTTGGCCCAGGCCTGGTCTATCATACCTGTCAATCCATCCATCCATCTCATTGTGTTCCAGTGTGTGGTTACAAATCTTTGTCTTCATGTGTGTGCAGGGACAGATCTTTTTTTCATGTATTTGTGGAGGGGCACATCTGTCTCTTTCAGGCCTTGGCCTGGTTGTTTATCTCTCCTCCAGGATATTGTTGTTGTTGCTGCTATCACCAGCTTTATTATTAACCAGAGGTGGGGGATAGGAGGAGGGTTTTAAGGCACTGAATGGATCCCAACCTTTTCGTCCTCCAGGTGTTTTGGACTTCCAGAAATCCCAGCTGTTAGGAATGATGAGAGCTGAAATCCAAACCACTGGTTTAAGGGTTCGACCTCCCCCCTCCAATGTTTCAGGATTTTTTTTAAAAAAACAACAACAATTGAATTTTAACTGAGGGCCCTTCCACACAGCCCTATATCCCAGAATATCAAAGCAGAAAAAATAACCATATATCTGCTTTGAACTGGGTTATCTGAGGGCTCTTCCGCATAGCCCTATATCCCAGAATATCAAGGTAGAAAATCCCACAATATCTGCTTTGAACTGGGTTATCTGAGACCAGAATTGCTATATATTCAAGTTCAAAACAGATAATGTGGAATTTTATTCAACTGTGTGGAAGGGGTCCCAGTTCTAAGCAAATATTGTGGGATTTTCTGCCATGATATTCTGGGTTATATGGCTTTGTGGAAGAGCCCTGGTTAACCAATTCATGAGTAAACCAGTTTTTTTTAAAAAAAAAACTGAAACATTTCTGGGGAGATGAAACCCTTAACCCCCCCCCCCCCTTTCTACAGGCCTACTGATTAGCATAGGTTGTAATGAATAATGCAAACCCTCTTTTTTAACAAAACAAAATCAAAACCCTCACATCCACCATTTTGTAGAGATTCACAGCAGGGCCTTCTCCTCAGTATGGTGTTTGGGAGCCTCCTCCTCACCCTCCTAGCCCCCTTTCTCACGCAGGGATGCAAACAGACACAGAGATGATGCTGGGCTCATCTTTCCCGCAAATCCCAACACGTCTATAGGAGTCGCGGCCACAGATGTCTCACCCCCCTCCTTCCCCTCCATTGCTATACCTTTGGTACAGCCAAACCAGATATTGTCAGCTAATCCCGCCAAAGACAATTATCTTAATAGGCATTGCCGTGTTTTCATTTTCTAAACAACAACAACCAAAAACTGAAATTTGCCATTGACATTTTGGCCCGGTGAAGGGAATCTTGCCTGGGAAGTTGTTTTGGGGGTGGCATGGGGTGCCTCAGGGCCCTTCCATACATCCCTATATCCCAGAATATCAAGGCAGAAAATCCCACAATATCTGCTTTCCACTGGGTTATCAGAGTCCACACTCAAATAATGTGGGATTTTCTGCCTTGATATTCTGGGATATAGGGCTGTGTGGAAGGACCCTGAGTTAGCTGAGTCTACACTGCCATATAACCCAGTTCAATGTGGATTTTATACAGCTGTGTGAAAGGGGCCGCAGTCGGCATAAATGTAAACATTTGTTGAAAGGGAGGGCCGAGTTGTCTGGAGGTGTATGTATCTTGCCTGCATCTTTCTCTTTTTAATTGCTCCACAAGAAGCGCTTTGGAAAGAATGGACACTGCACCAACATGTTTGTGCTTTTGCAAGCATGACAAGATAGGAGCCCAAAAGAAATGTCACAGTACAGCTGTGCAAAAGGATTACAAAGAGAAAAGCTTTCCCTTACAATTAAAAATATGATGGGAGAGAAAAAACCTTTGTTTTTCTTTCTTTCTCCATAAAATCATCTCGGTTTGTTTCCTTCATCCTGAGAGAAAGGAAAGGATACCTCCGTGCATGCTGATGGGAAGGACAACATCTCTTGGAAACCTCCTTTGTTGTTGAGTGCTTTGTTAGTGTGACAATGAGGCATAATGTTTCATTACCATGATGTCAACTCTCCATTTATTATCAAGGTGTGTGTGTGTGAGCACCCTTGTGTAGTCCATCTTAAAGGAACAAAGATTGCTTAGATATAGCTGCAAAGGTTATCAGTCCCTCATCTCTCAAGCCAAAGCTGTTGGTTCTCAGTACCATACCTATTTAACTCGCTGCATTTCTGCTTCTGAATAATCTGTCTTTCCAGCCAGCATTAGATATTAATGCTTTGGGAAACACTTATGGATATATTTTTAGCTCAGCATCAGAATGATAAAGGAGATACACATTATGGCTCTATTCTTCTAATACGGCTTTTTGTTTCCATGTTAGTTATGCATTAAAAGAAATGTCAATTTATGCTTAAAGAATTAAAAACAGATCATACCATTTGGAGTTGGGTTGCTGCAGTACATTCAGCAACACGCCTATGACAAATCTGGCCTAGCTGTGTACACCTTGAATCTGAACTGGCCTTCATTAACACCTAATGGAGTCCCGTCCCCCCTTTTCCTTTTTTAAATAAAGAACATTTCAGATAAGAATGATCAGATCAGCAGTGATTATGTTGTTAGTTTTGTACCATTATATTAAGACTATTGAAAAAATTATCAGGTTTCCTCATTGTTGTTGTTGTTGTTGTATTTGAATCATATTTTGGTAGTGCTTTACAGCAACTGATCCTGAATTATACACACATTCTGTATCTATAAAAGCAGACTTTTGAGAGAGAATTAGAATATAATCTTTATTTGAGTATCAATATTGTGTGTATGTTTATGCATGGCCTTAACCTAGTCACAGGATTCTAAGGTGATGCYTATGGTATCAGGACACTGTAGAAGTTGAATCCCTGAATATCCTGGATGCAATGATCTGCAGTGCTATAGTGAAAAAACATATGGTGTGTTTCGGGATGGGGGGGGGGGAGAACAGGTGACACATCCACTATGAGTAATGCTCTATAATTGTGAGGGGTATTGCACTAGTGGCAGTTAAAACAAGTGATGTAAAGTAAATCTAGCATTTGATACTGTAGCTGGAAAAGTAATTTTGGCCTCTTTGTGGGTTGACTTTTTTTTAATGAACTCTGTCCTTTGCCTTTCCAAATATTGGTTTTGGGAGGAATGGGTACTGTATTTAAACACTTCAGCTATTTTAAAAGGAAACTCTCTTCCTGACAGGAAATCTATAGGAAGTCTTCTTACATAAAAGTTGCAGTGACTGTGAATACAAATGCTGTCTTTGTCACCCAAAATGTTTTACAGAAGAGGGTTGAGAAACACATGGGTTTTTCAAAGGGCTGCATTCTGCTTGTCCAGTCTTTTAGAGTGATCCCTACTTGTATTGTTGTGGTCCCTTTCAAATAAGTGTTGTGTTGTTAAAAGAGATGGAGGAAAGTGTTGCATGTCTGAGTTTAATCATTTGGCCCCAAGGATATAGAGGTATGTAAGCAAGCAAGTTAAAATCTGCTCCACTGTAGCTCATTATCATAGTTCTGGATCTTTGAGATGGGGCATCCTGGGAATTTGATTTGATAAACAAAGTCTAATTCCAGTGCACGTTTGTTTACAATATGATCCCCATATCAGTGAACCCGATATCTTCAGTTTCATTTAACTGTGTCCAACAATATATGTACACTAGGT